TGGTATGGCTAAGCTGGGAGAGGATTATGCTGCCCAAGGCCATGGGGGGGCATGGGATTCCGTGACATGAGGGCTTTTAATCAGGCTGTGCTGGCCAAGCAAGCCTGGCGCCTACTGGATAGCCCAGCTAGCTTATGTGCAAGGTTATTGAAGGCTAAATATTATCCGAGGGGAAATTTGCTTGACACTGTGTTTTCATCAAACTCTTCGGCGGTGTGGAAAGGTATTGTTCATGGGCTTGAGCTGGTGAAGAAAGGCATTATATAGCGAGTTGGCAATGGTACAATGATAAATACTTGGAGGGATGCTTGGATCCCTCGTGGACACAACCTTAGACCGATCACTCCTAGGAGGAATTGTCGTTACAATTGGGTGGTTGATTTTTTGAACGAGCATGATGCATGGAATGAGGAACGGCCTCGGGAGCATTTTTCGGACATGGATGTTAGGGAGATATTGAAGATCCGCACATCTCCAAGGAATGGGCAGGACTTTGTTGCTTGGTTTCCGGAGCGGTCTGGACAGTTCACTATTCGTAGCGCATATCACCTAGCTACGGATGTCTAGCTCTCAACACGTATTAGCTCATCTAGTAGCAATTCTTCAGGTTGGAGGCCCATTTGGCAACGTATATGGAGCTCTCAAGTACCCTTGAAGATGAAAATCATGGCGTGGAAAGCTGTCTCAGGAGCTCTCGCTACAAATGAGTGTAAGAAATACCGACACATCTCTACTAGAGATGGCTGTCCGGTGTGCGGCCGGGAGAAGGAGACTAGCTTTCATGCACTTGTATCCTGTGAGCATGTGAGGACGATTTGGGCTTAGATGAGATCAGTTTGGCGACTCCCAAGCCAAGAGATTCTTCTTGATACAGGAAAAGAGTGGCTCTTAAATGTCCTTGCTAATTGCGATGATCACATGCGGGATTGCATGATTATGTTGATATGGAGGATCTGGTCTCTACGCTCGGACATAACACATGGAAAGGAGGTTCCTCCTGTAACGGCAACGTCGGACTACCTTCAAATCTATATGAACTCTTTGAACCTTTGTTGCAGATTCTCCACGGAAGATATTCTGAAAGGGAAGATGCCAATGGCTTCGGGAAGAAACCGCCGATGGACCGGGATGCTCTCTCGGTGGATGGGGCTTTTATGCAAGAGGATGGTTCGGCGGCAGCGGGTATGGTACTGTGGCATCATGAGGGAAGTGTGATCTTTGCAGCGTACATGTGCATCTTCAAATGTAACAATGCGCTGGAAGCGGAACTACATGCACTAATGCAGGGTATGGCCTTGGCCTTGCAGCATTGCTCCCTGCCAATTGTTGTTCAGTCAGATTCATCTATGGCACTAGCTGCAATGACCTGGGATAGCTTGTCCAGGTTTGCTTATGGTCATTTGGTAGCAGAGATTAGGCGTCATACGGAGGCTCGAGAGTTTGTTCCATCAAAAATCAAGCGTGAGCAGAATATGATAGCACATCGGTTGGCAGTGTATAGTCGTACAGAGTCTACTACTGCTGTATGGCTGGGAGGAGCCCACCTTGTATTGAGGAGTTGGTGCCTCTTGATTGTAACCCTATGCATATGGAATAAAACTCTCTTTCGATCGCAAAAAAAAACAAAGCAAAACTGTGATTATTCGACCACCACGTCGATTGTAAGGTACGACAACTATCCATGGGACGCACGCGTCATTTTATTTTCTCTTTATTTTTTCATCATCACCACCAAATAAAAAGCGCCAACCAAGACTCGAATTCCGTAGGGAGCACCGGAGGAGGCTGTTGTACGTCAGCATCGCCGGTCGTCGAGGCACCAACATCGGTAGTCGGGCTTGGACATTGCCAGGAGCTCCTCCAGCGACATGCGCTCCAGCTCTCGCTGCCTCCACGCCGGGAAGGCCTTGACCGTGGACTCATCATCGTCGTCTTTGGGCCGACCGTAAAGGTGCAGGTGACTCATGGCGCGCATCCTCTTGTATAGGCGCATGGCGGCCACGCAGTCGTCGTAGGGATGATGGTGGCCTCCCGTCTGTATATCATAGCCCAGGCAGCTCCGCGTGAGATACCGGAGCGAATTGCTCATGAGCCTAGCGCTGGTCTTCATCAGCGGCCGGCACACGGCCGTGTCCCTCCTGAGGTGCGCCTGGTAGTCCATGCCCAACGCGTCGAGGTCGTGCTCCAGCCCATGGCCGACGAGGAGCCGGGCGGTGCCGCGGGAGGAGTAGGAGTAGGAGTAGGACTGCTCGCCGTTGAGGAGGGTGTCCTGCACCCGCCGCATCGCCTGCTTCACCGTGGGCGCGTCGCGAAGGTGCTCGGGCCGGATGCCGGTGGTCTCGTACCGGTAGTGCGTCACTGGATGAGGGGCTTCATGAAGCTCTCGTAGAGGATGGCCTCGTGCTCGTCGACGACGCAGACGCGCGCGCACACATCGAGCGTGCCGTCGCTACCGCCGCCGACCATCTTGCACCCCAGCACTACCGGACTCGCAGCCTATGCCTACGGCCCAGGGCCGTCGGCATAGGTCCTCTGCCGTCGGCATAAATCTATGCCTACGTGTGCCGTCGGCATAGGCCCGTCGGCGTAGATCACATCAACATAGTCTTGTCAGGCCGTCGGTGTAGTATAGCCCTCGGCATAGGGGCCTATGCCGACGGCCGGGCGCCAGCCATCGGCAGTGTTTTTTGCCTTACGGCAACAGACGGCACCGTCAAAAGCGCTGACGATTCACGGGAAGCCACGTGGCAGAGGTATGCCGACGGTCAAGCCGTCGGCATACCTCTGGCACGTGGCATTCCCTGGTGCCTCCTGGTGGCAGCGCCACCGCGGCCCCGCCGTCTGGCACGCCCTCCCTCGACATGCTTCGAGTGAGGCTATGCACGAAAGAGGCGATCGGAGCGCGGGAGAGCTTGCATGCGGCGCAGTGGGCGCGGAGGGCGGGGGAGGTGGGGAAGACGGCGAGGCAGAGTGGGCAGCCGTGGAGTTGGAAGGCGTTGGCGCAGGCGGGCTTGGAGGGCAGGGAGGCGCCGAAGCCGAGGTGGTCGCGGAGGGCGTCGAGGGAGAGGCAGTGCTTGCCGCAGACGCCGCAGCGGGGCTCGTGGTGGAAGTGGTGCGACGACCGCATGTGCTCCACCAGGTGCTCCATCCGGTTGAACTCACGGTACCACGCCGCGCACCTGTGACGGCTGCATGTACAAACCCAAGAAGTCCTGGTCAGCAAGAAAAGGTATCATCACGTACGTACGGACTACAAGAGAAAAGAAAAGCAGTGCAACCTTAGGCAAATTTAGTCTCAAACCAAACAACCCCGGAGTATACGAAGATGGAGCAGTGCCAGTGGGCAGCGTTCCTATGAGCATCTGAAGAGTTTTCCATGGTCGGCAGTGCCAGTGAGACACCTAAGCAAGTGCAGAGTATCAGCAAACAGTAGCCATGGTCGGCAGTGAGAGAGTCACGCCAAACCAAGTGCAGGGACGCAGCAAACAGTAGCTCAGACAATTACCGCTACTCTAGCTACTATGCTCAAGGAGAGAAGAACATATGCGGCAAATTTGACAATTTTGACCTCGGGACGAAATGAATTCACAGAGTGAACTACTCGTGAAACTATTTCACGTCCCTGACCTTTTTGTGTAGCACCCGCCATGCAGGCGCCACACCCTACGGTGCAACGCATAGCACGGGGGCGTTGCACGCCAGTCCACCGTGGCAGCCATGGGCCCCGCACCCAGCAGTGCAGCGCCTCGGAGCTAGGCGCCACACATGTAATGTGCAGCGCCTAGCCGTCGGGCGCTGCACTGTGACTTAGATCCAGCCGCGGCGGCCCTCTTCTCCCCCACCCACCCCATTGCAGCGGTTACAGAAGAACAGAAGAAGCCGCGGCGGCGGCCCTCTCCACTCCCCCTCTCAATCCCCTGTCCCAAATCCTTCAGATCCGACGATTTGGTCCGTGGATTTCGTCACCAATCCATCCTAGAAGGTACTCTCCTACGATCCTCTTCTTTCTATCCAAATGCAACCTTGAATCAACCTTCTTCGTTGCAAATAACTCAAGAGCCTTGTCTAGTGATTCAGCCATCGTTTCCTTCTATGCAACCCAACGTTGCTCCGAGTTAACACGCATTGTCTACCAACAGATGTGCATTCCAAAACCTACATTATGCCTTCTCTCCAACTCAACGATATCACTAGGGTCCATCCAATTCAAATCTTTCCTCACTTGTTGCAACAGCTCCGCATAGCTAGGACTACTATCAAACACCATGTCAAGCTCATCCGGGTCCGGTTCAATATTGCCTTTCAAGAAGGCGTCTTTGCCCCATGATGAACAAACACACATGTTCTTCCCATCCCTATAAGCATTCAAACAATACAACGTAACATTGCTTCCATGAGTACTAATCCAAGGATTAACAAGGAATACAAATCCTAAAATATATATAAAAATACAACCCTAACCCTAACCCTAACCATAACCCTAGCCCTAAACCTAACCCTAGCATCAACATAAGAAAACCCATAAGAATAACCCTAACATACTAACAAAGCCTAATAATAGGAAATTGGCAAACAAACATCTCACATCTCCATGCAAATCTCTAGATCCAAACAAAACTAGGGTTTCCCCAAACTAGCAACAAATGAGCAAAATGATAACATTACTTGGATCAAAACAAGGGGATCGAAGAAGATTACCTTGAGGGAGGGTTTGACTTCGAAATCCAGGGACAAATTC